CCCCTCCCTTACCATCCACTCCGCCCCCTCCCTCTGCCCCCCCCCAATACCCAGCAGAAACTATTTTGCCTTTATTTCTGATCTTGTTGTAGAGAGAGTATAAGCAATAATAGGAAGGAACAAGAGTTTTTGCTGGTTGAGATAAGGATAGCTATACAGGGCATTGACTCACATTGATTTCCTGTGCGTGGGTGTTACCTTCTAGGTTAATTCTTTTTGATCTAACCTTTTCTCTAGTACCTGTTCCCCTTTTCCTATTGGCCTCAGTTGCTTTGAGGTATCTGCTTTAGTTTCTCTGCGTTAAGGGCAACAAATGCTAGCTAGTTTTTTAGGTGTCTTACCTATCCTCATCCCTCCCTTGTGTGCTCTCGCTTTTATCATGTGCTCATAGTCCAATCCCCTTAACAATGTTATCTTGAAGTTAGCACATAATTTTGTGAAGTCTTGGTCCTGTCATTTATTGTTATTTTTTTTAAAGTGAGAGTCTGTCAATGATAATAATCCATGAAAATAGCTTAACACTTTTTGGTGAGATCCCTAAATGAGATATATTTGAGGGAATTTGGGATAAAGTAGATTTGTGCTGGGCATGATGGCATACACCTGTATCTCTAGCACTGGGGAAGCTGAGGCAGGAAGATCATGAGTTTGAGGCCAGCCTGGGCTATACAGCGAGACAATTTTGATAAAAACATTGTTTATCAGTGGAGCTGAAACACTCAAATTAATTTTTAGAAGTTAGGAGGGCTGGGGTTCTGGTTCAGTGGTAGTGCCTAGCATGCATGAAGCTCTGGGTTCCATACCCAGCAGCTTAAATATGTATATGGAAATATTTGGCAAAAACCTCAAGCCCTATATAATACACCATAGAAAGAATTGCCTACAGTTACTTTTAAGAAAACTTCGTGGGATTCCTTTTCTTTTTTTTAACCTACAAAACTTGTGAAAGTCAATCCAAGGAATGAACATTTAAGATGAAGTTATATATATATATATATATATATACATACATACATATTTTTCATACATATTTTCAAGGCCTAGGCTGGCCTTGAACTTGGAATCCTCTTGCTTCAGCCTCATGAGCGCTGGAGTTATAGGTATGTTCTATCAAGCCCTGCTTGCTTGCTTGTTTGTTTAATAACTAGGAATCCTGAGATGGGAAAATTTTAGGTACTCAGACCTATGGCTTATGTAAAAAGAGGCTAAAATTAAGTTTAGGACAATTGATAAACAAGTTTTCCTGTGATGTTGATTGCCTGCTCCCTTTTTTTGTCCTCTGGCTATTGCCTGGGCAGAACAATAACAACAGAATTAATGAAAGTTTTTGCAGTGAAAATGTGTTTTGATAGTAAAAGCAAAAAGAAAAATAAAAATGACCTAAAATTTTGTAGCTCATAGATGAACTCTCTGGTTAACATTTTTACCTAAATTCTTGCAGTTTATTTTCCCTGGGTAGAAATAAATTATATCTGATTGTATCATTCACATTTTCACTCTTGTGATAATGTAAGATGTTTGGGATCCAGTAAATATATTTTCCTACAACATAATTTTTAGTGGCTGTATAATATCTTCCATTGAATAATATGACTTAAGTGCATTATTTTGCACTTGCAAACTGAAGACTTCTCTTTAAGCTTTCACTCCCACCCTCTACCCCCACCTAGCCTTGAACTTACAGTCCTCTTGCCTCTGCCTTCCAAGTACAAGACTTCTCTTTACTGTTGTCATGGTTAGAGGTTTATTCACTTTTACAATTTTTAAGGAGTATGATAAATAGAATAAAAAATATTTAAAGCGCTGAAGTCTGGCATTGTTAGCAAGTGTGTGATAACTGAGAAGGAAGTTTCCATAGTTAAAGAGAACAAAGAGACTTGAGTAAGGTCATCTGGGAATTGAGGGGAGCCAGAATTCCTGAATTGCCTTGAAGCTGATCCTGAAATGAATAATATTTAAGATGTTGATAACACTTAACTGTTCACCTGGAAGTATCTGTCATTTTAATGTAGGGCTGTTTTTGCTGTTTTGCAAAACACATATCTTTTCTTTTGGATTTGGCAGTTGATAACAAACAATATGTTCTCATAAAATGTTCTCTTTTAGAAACGTGTACCTAAAGGGTCTACAATAGTTGAACCTCCTACCCTGTATTAACTGTAAACAGAAACTGAAAACAATGGCATTGGAGTTGCAGGTACCTACATTGCCACATGGTTTTACCCACATTTTGGATAAGCCACTCAAGATAGCTGATATTATAGAGTTAAAAAAAAAAATTATAGGCTGGCAGTGGGGCTCAAGTGATAGAGTGTCTACCTAGCAAGCCTGAAGCCCTGAATTCAAATGCCCATACTAACCCCTCCCCCCCAAATTTTTTCTTAATGTGTGCTAATGTTTTACTTTTTTCATTTTTACAACAAACTGGTAACAATAAATATGTTTAAACTTTGGAAAAAAGAAAATTTAAACCTGAGTTTTATGTATTGAACACATGACAAATATTTTTTTGTTTGTTTGTGGTACTAGGTCTTAAATTCAGGGCCTTCACCTTGAGCCACTCCACCAGCCCAGTTTTCTGTGATAGGGTTTTTCGAGATAGGGTCTCATGAACTATTTGCCCAGGCTGGATTTGAACTGTGATCCTGCTGATCTTTGCCTCTAGTAGCTAGGATTACAGATGTGAGCCACTGGTGCCTGGCTAAAGATATTTTTTAACTGTCATCATTTAAAAACCTTTTTTCTTCAAAAGTATATTGTAGAAAGTGGGTTTTTTGCTTTGTTTTTTTGGTTGTACTGGGTTTGTACTTGCCAGGCCCGGAGTTCTACTTGAGCCATTTAGCCCTTACTATAGAAAGTTAAAAAACAAAAACAGAAAATAATCATTCATCAGGCCATACTATCTTTTGGTAAACTCTTGTCAATATGCTGGTATATGCTGGTGTAGTCCTGTTCCTTCCTGCCTTCTAGCCTCCCTGCCTTCCTGCCTCCCTTCTTGCTTCCCTCCTTCCCAGGTCTCTTTATGTAGCCTAGGCTAGCTCCGAACTGGAGATCCTCCTGCCTTAGCCTTTTGGATGTGTGAAGCACTGTACCCCACACTCCATATTTTAAAATACCATGAAATAATTATTGTTAATATTATGAATCCACATAATGATTGTGATATGTTTTATCTTTCTGAACATATAAGAGAAGACTATGTTAATAGAGCCAGAGAAAACCTTTTAATGAATATATTTTTAAAGAGGTGTTTCTGACCCGACAAATATCTAGGGCTTATCTTTACTGTTAGTACTCTGCAGTGCTTCTAAACCTAATTAATATGAATCTGAGATGAATGTAACTTTTTTTTCTTTTATAAGCTCATATTGTGCAACTAAAGTTGGTAGGAGAAATTTGGTAGGTCTGTTGAAAAATAGACTTCTCTTAAAATCATGGAGGAGATGAGTGAGTTAATGGCCTTTTGGCTTAACCTAAAGTGAACACACTCAGCCAAGGAAGGAAGGGTTTTTGTTTTTGTTTTTTCAGGAATCCAGATATAGTTACCATATAGGCACTGCCAGAAAACTAGTGGACAAGACATAGCCCTTTGTCCTTTACTTGCTTCTAGCTATCAGAAAAGAGGTAGTAATAGGTACCCAAAATTATTATCCATAAAACAAATGACACATATAATTTATATTAATTTCCAAGAATTTTTACAAGTAAATTTTTGAACTCAGTATTGTATATTTTAATAACTGTGGTAAAATTTTGTTTTGTATTTTTAGCTTAACTTTTTGATTAAGATAATACCTATTTATAATAGAAACTTTTTATAAGTATAGAATAATTGAAGAGGCAGATTGTAACCTAGTGGTACCTTTTTTTTTTTTTTGGTTTAGGGGCTTGAACACAGGGCCTCTAAGCCCTCTGTTACTTCTTGCTTGATTATTTTATTTATTTATGATGGAACTAGCGTTTGAGGTCAGAGCTTCATGTTTATAAAGCCAGTGCTCTACTGCTTGAGCCACACCTCCAGTCCATTTTGCTCTGGTTATTTTGGAAATGGGCTCTCTTGAACTGTTTGCCCAGGCTGGCCTTGAACTTTGACCCTCCCAATCTCAGCCTGTTAAGTAGCTAGGATCACAGGTGTGAGCCACTGTGCTTGGCTGTTTGTTTATTTAAATGATCTTGTTATGTAACCTGGACTTACCGTCCTTCAGACTCAGTCTCCCTATTGCTTGAATTATAGACATGTATCACCACACTGGTTTTTTTTTTTTGGATAGGGTCTTGCTATGTTGCCCAAGCTGACTTTGAACTCATGATTCTCTACCTCAGCCACTGAGTACTGTGATACAGGTGTGTTCCATCATGCCCAGATACCATTGTTTTACTCTGAGGGAAATGAACAAGTCAGTTGCTGAACTCTTGAGTTTTCATATATCAGAGTATGTTTGTCTTTGTTAGTTCATATTAGGCAGTTGGGATGGTTAAAGAAGTATGGTGGTCCTACTTAATGGTGTATTTCTGTATTCTGTGAGTGTGAAGTTAAATGATTACATTAGTCTTTTTCACCCATTCACATCGTGGATTTTATTTATTTATTTTTTGATATTTGAACTCAGGGCCACTAGTGTGGTAGGCAAGTGCTCTACCACTTGAACTAAGCCCCTCATCTTTATTTTATTTATTTATTTACTGTTTTTAGGAAATTATATAATCTTTCTGGAAAGGAGTATTATCATTAGGTCAAAGCAAAGAAGTGTTTTTAAAGTCTTTTGTTACATAGGGCCCAGGTTATTTCCTGGATAATATACTTTTATCAGTATTATTTGATGATGCCTGCTTATGTGAGAGTTATGAAACAAACAAATGAAAAATAAGTAACAAACATGAATAAACAAATCTCTGTGTAAAATACATAGAGTTTGAACTATTGTTCTTTTTTTAGAATGTAGATCAATTAGGGTTAATCCCTGCTGATTCTTCTTCTTTTTTTAAACTTTATAAAACAGGAGATTTGATGAAGAGTGCTGCCGGAGAGTTTGCAGATGATCCTTGTTCTTCTGTGAAGCGAGGCAACATGGTTCGGGCAGCCCGAGCTTTACTCTCTGCTGTTACCCGGCTGCTGATTTTGGCTGACATGGCAGATGTCTACAAATTACTTGTTCAGCTGAAAGTTGTAAGTACAGGCCTATGTCTATAATTTGGTCTTTGTATTACTGTTAAGCTGATTCTGGCCATACTTTACTCAGCATTCCTTAGGATTTAGTTTGGTTTTAAACTAGATTAATCTAAATAGACCAGGGTTGTTGTTGTTTTTTTAATTTCCACTTACTCCTCTATTCCAAGTGTGTATGATACAGACTCTACTGTGAGCCAATGTTGTATCTGTTCTAATGAAGAGCTTGTAACAAAGGTATTGTTTTGACTCTTATCTTTTTGCAGTGGTGATTAGACATTTTCTTGTATTAATAGAGTTCTATGATTGAGAAACCAAGACATATTGAATTATCCATTTTTAGATATAGGCCAGTATGCTAATGTCCTTCCCACTTCCTGAAGCACCCATGTACCAGGAAGGCCTTGCTTTCTAAGTTTGGATTAATTACTTTCTGAATAGCTGTTAAAAGGAATAAAATAAAATTCTGTATGTGCAGACCTCTTTATGTATAGACTTTGTGGTTCAGAATTTTTGTTTTTTGGGGGGTTGCGTTTTTATAGGTGGAAGATGGTATCTTGAAACTGAGGAATGCTGGTAATGAACAAGACTTAGGAATACAGTATAAAGCCCTGAAACCAGAAGTAGATAAACTGAACATTATGGCAGCTAAAAGACAACAGGTACAGTCATTATTTGGGGATATTTTAAAGTTTATTATCTAATGGGAAAAACCCATTTTACCTAAGTTTTCTGAAGGGGTTGTTTGTTACTTTCCTCTGTTCATATAGTTCCATTAAAACACTTTAAGAGGTATCTTTTCAGTATTGTGATGTTAACAAAGCTATACTTAGGTTGCATTCATATTATGTTCCTGTTTTGATGAAGGTATTGTCTGGAGAGGTGGTTTGCCTGTGTTATGCTTGTTCAAGAATTAACCTGCATTTAATTCAGATCTTTAAAAAACCTGAACAATTTAAAAGGTAATAAAATTATCTATGTGTCAAAAAGTACAGTGCCCTACCACTGGTCCCATATTTTGTCACTTTTTGTGTGGTTCTTATTAATCATTACTAGTAGTTTCTGTTGTGTGGCATGTGGCTCAGTGTTCTCATTTTTCTCAGCTCCAATAACCCTTTGGTATTTTTGCTTTTGTAGTGCTTTGAAATTCTTCCTGTGCTCTTCCTGTTGTATGCTGTATGTTTTAGGTGTGTTATTTTGCAGGGAGGGTTTGAACTCTGGACTTCATGGTTGCAAAGTAGACACTCTACTGCTTGAACCACACTTCCAGTCCATTTTGCTCTGGTTATTTTGGAGATGGAGTCTCTTGAACTGTTTGCCCAAGCTGTTCTTGAACTGTGATCCTCCTGATCTCAGCCTCCCAATTAGCTAGGATTGTAGGTATGAGCCACTAACATTTGGCCACTTTTAATCCTTAATTTAAAACAATCCCTGGAAAGCTGATTTGTTACTGTTGTTAGCCAATACTCATGTTAGGATACTTGGTGATGTAGTACACAGAAAACTCAGCTCCTAGACTGTTGGAACAGTAGGGTTTTAAATTCTCATTAATAAGAAGTCCTAAGTTAGGTTAAGATACTTCTGGGTTAAATATTGTAGCTTTGCCCTTTCATTAGGAATACAGGTTCTTGGGCTGGTGGAGTGGCCCAAGTGGTAGAACACCTGTCTAGGAAGCATGAGGGGCCTAGTTCAAACTTCAGTACCACCAAAAAAAAAAAAAGAATCCAGGTTCTTTTTCAGCAGTGACACCTTCAGTGTCCCCGACACTAGATGGCTGCAGAAACTCTAAATATAATATTTGCACACATCAGTATGTCCAGTGAGGAAAAGAGGGAATTTTTTGCATATGTCTTTATATGCAAACAATCCTGAAGCCCTTAGTAGACTTAACCCTAAATCTAAATTGTATTACATGCCTGTTCCCTTATTTTAAGAGGAAAGAAGTTACCATGAGTAACTCAGAATAATCAAGACAAACCTTTTGCTCTAGGATAAGGGTAGTTTTTTTATTGGGAATACCCAATAAATACTCTTCATAGACAGAAAAAGTGTAGTTGGAGGTAGGAGTGGGGGAATGGATTGAGTTGTAACCTACTACAACTGCTGTAGACTTTTTTCATTTTAAGGAGAGGTAGTTGTAAATACTATAAGTGTCTAATATATAACAGCCTCAGCCTTCAAGACCTCCTAATTATTTGAGTATATTTATATTAGAATAAAATTAGAGTTGAGGATTAAATTTAATAATATGTGTTCAGTACTTAATATGATGCCAGGCACTAAGGGCCCCCTTCTTCATCCCCCCCAGCCTTTGGTGAGTAGTAGTAGTTTATTGCTCATATTTCAATTTATAAGGTAAGATTATACTAACCGAGTACATATGAAATCTTACTTTTGCATTTCTAGTAGTTAATAATTTTATAGCTAAATTTGCTGTACTGCCTGATAATTTAGTTAGCATGGACTTAGTGTGCTTTTATCATTTATTCTTGTGTTGGCTTAATCTCTGTCATATCATCTATTAGCAGTATTTTTTTTTCCCCTGGGGCTGACTGATCCTGGAAGAACTTGTTTAATAGAATGGTAATTGTAGAAATATGGTACGATGGCCAAATTATGTTTATAATTTATTTTACTTAATATTCTTAATATAAATTCTCATTTGAGTAAGTGAAATAAATGTTAAGTTATATTTAAAAAATAAAATTTGGTGAATGGTACTGCTGTCTTGTAAACCTACTTTGATCTTGGTTTATGAAGACTCACTGTTATTTAGGAAAAGTAGGAACATTTAGACTGACACTATTTTACATCTTTGTAAAATGGTGGGTTGTGTCCATGCTGTTGTTGTGGTGTGGTGCTGGGCATTGAACCCAGGGTCTTGTGCTAGGCATGCACTCTAACTCTGAGCTATAGTCCTATCAGTTTAAAATTACGGAATAAGTAAACATATATTTTGTGTGTATTTGGAGAAGCTTATTTGAAAGTAATGCTGCCTGAGTTTTAATTCTGTGTGCCACGAATCTACTGAGAGCTCCTTGTGTATTAAGAAAAATTAGCAGTAAATGCCAAACATTTTTGAAATAAGTTGTCACAGAAATCTTGGTGTCATTACATACATGCTGGATCATCTTTTTGTCCCTCCATATCTGTTTTCTACCCTTGTTTACCTGTTCTCTGCCCTAGGAACCTAATTTGTCTAGAGGGATTCATAGAATTCTTTGCCATGTGGCTCCTGTTTAGATTTGGCCTGTGGGAGCATAAGCAGGAAATCAGAAGAGCTAGGAGTGGGGAAGCTGAGCTTTTAATTCACAAGCCTCTTCTCTGCTGGTTTCCTTGGGTGACTAAAAGATATTGCACTCTCCACACAATTTGCTCCCTGGGCTGGTGACTGTGTCTGCTTCTTGTCCCCTTATAGTTTGCACATATCTTCTAGGCAGTTCCAGTTTACCATAGAGCTGTATTCCCAGCTTTGTTTTGCCTAATTCCTTAAGCCTTGGTTTTTTATAAGAAAATCAATTAAGTAAGCTAGTTTGGGGCTCCCGTGAGCCTATTGTTCACAAAATAGCCTTTTTTTAAGACCTGGGTTTTCATGTGTATTTCTATAAGCTAATGTTTTTCGTGGGAATTTAAACTTCTACTCATTTTGTCCTGTTGGAAATTTTATTCCAGGGACTTCCATACTCATCTTCATTTGGGTACTGCCCACTGGTCCCCTTGTCATGTTTCCCTGTACTGTATATTTTCTTTCATTTTTGTATGCTTAGCATCTTGGTCTGTTTTCATTTTTTCTTCTTCTCTAGGCATGTTATGTAATAATTTGTCTCCTCATCGAACCTCTCATCTTTGCAAACAATTTTATTCCTGAAAAGGGAGTATTCACTCAGGTATTTAGATGTAATACATTTATTGGCTCTTTAGTTGCCCTTGTGTAATTTAACAGCAGCTATCCATTAAGAAAAACCTCATAAGGGCCACAGGCTTTCTGGAATTTACTTTTTTGTTCTTGAAGTTTTTCTAGGATATTGTGTGGTTGTTGAAAGTGATAATAAATAGACAAGTATTTATGTTCCAAATGCTGTTGTAATCTTTTTATAAGCAAATACAATTTAATATTTACAAAATAGTATAAGGCAGTTACTACAACTGCTCACCATTTTAATTTAGATGAAGGAATTGTAGCACAGAGAGGCTAAGTAATCTGATAAAGCTATTCATTTAGTAAGAGGTAGAGCTAGGAATTTAACCTAAACTGTCTGGTTCAAAGACAGGAATTTTGTCTGTTCTAGTTATTCTTATAAGCCCTAGTACCTAGAACATTGCCTAGATTTAGTAGTGCTCAAGAACTATTTTGTTTAATTAGTGAATGCACTACTTACTCTACTGCAGATCAATCCTGGAATGGGATTCTAAATGTAGTTCTAGTCTGTTATTTTCTTGTGCTAAAATATTGTTTGTGACTAGAAGCATTGCATTCTTATTAGCTTCCAGGCTCTACTTTGACTGTATGGGTATCTTAGTTCATTTTCTGTTGTGCTAACTGAATATTGCAGATTGGGTAATTTAAAAGAATAGATGTTTATTGAGCTTAGGGTTCTGGAGGGTGGTATATACAAGGACAAGATGCCAATATTTACTTAGCATCTTACTGGGCTTTCTTACTGCATTGTAATATGTCATAGGGTATCACTTGGCTAGACAGTGCTCTGGTTTCTTCCTCTTTTTATAAAGTCACTAGCGCCATTATGAGGGCCCCACCTTCATGACCTTTTTGAATCCTAATTACCTCCCGAAGGCCTCATCTGCAAATATTATTAACATGACTTTGGAAATTGTTTTCAGCATGTAACCTTTGAGGTGACACACTCAACCATAGGAAAGAGTAAAAATGATTGTAGAGGTAAGGGTGGGCCTGGTTTCTGAAAGGAGGACCACTTCTGCTTCACATTGTTAACTCTGGCTCATCAACATGGTGGAGTGCTTTAATTCAAATTCCTTCTACCTACATATAGAAAGTTTGTTGAAATATTTGGAAGAGCTTAATGATTTTTACTCCTTAGCTAGTCTATAAACTCTGATATGCATGATTATTTTTCTGAAAACTTGAACAGATACATTGGTATGGTAATAAGTAATCTGTTACATTGCTTAATAGCTCAGTAATATGGATTATTCATACTGTGTATCTTCCTCCCCTCCCCCAACCACTGAGGTTTGAACTCAGGGCCTATACCTTGAGTGATGGGGTTTTTTGAGATAGGGTCTCATGAACTCTTTGCCTGGGCTAACTTCTAATGGAGATCATCCTGATCTCTGTCTTCTGTGTAGCTGGGATTACAGTTGTGAGCCACTGGTGAGCTACAGGCACCCGGCCATACTGTGTATCTTGAAAGGGATTCTTTTTATTTATTGTTAATATGATAGTTCTGCCCAGTGAACTGTCCATTTCCTATCCTTTTTTTTTTTTTTCTTTCCTTTGCTGTACTGAGGTTTGAACCCAGGGACTGATAGCAGACCCTCTAACCACTTGAGCCATAGTCCCGCTCCCCTTCTCCCTTTTGCTTTAGTTATTTTTCAGGTAGGGTCTCATGTTTTTGCCCAGGAGCACCCTCAAACCTCAGTCTTTCTACCTTTGGCTTCCCATGTAGCTGGGATCGCAGATGTTCTCCACCATACCCTGCTTATTAATTGAAGTGGGGTCTTGCTAACTTTTTACCTGGGCTGGCCTGGAACCATGGTGTTTCTGATCCCTGCCTTCTGAGTAACTGAGGTTATAGGCTTGAGCCACCATACCAACCTCCATTTTCCAACCTTTACTTAACAAAAATTTAGTTTCTGTGTGCTAAGGCAAAAGCAGCTCTAAAGAAAGAATATTTTATTTGCTAGACTAATGATATTTAGTTGTCGTTTTCATTATAGATTACAATTTTTCCCCTATACTTGGCAAATAGGTTCTTATAGAGATATGTTATAGTGAACATACAGAACATGTTTACCAGCTATTTAGGCATAATGGTTAACTACAGCCCCTCATTGTAACTTGAGTCCTGAAATGATGACCAGTTGTATAAATCCATAGGCTCCTATTTTTGAGTATTAAGCCTGATGTAATATTTTGGAAAAGTAGAAATTTATCCTACCAGCCCAGGCAGCGGCCTAGGTAAGTCAGATGTTGAATACTTATTCTGGCACCTATTAACTGAATGTGACCATGAGTATCTCTGGAAACCTTTATATGATGCTATGTTAATCTAGGTTGTAAATACTTAGAAGAGCTGATTGCAAAGCATTTTGTAAAACAGAGGACAGTGTAAGCATTTAAAGGCAAATGTCTCCCTCAAAGACTTAGTCCTTGAGATGTCAGTGAAGGCTAGATGTTTAGAAAATGCCCCACAGAACATGTGCACTAGCTATTTAAGCATAATGTTAGCCACAGCCTTGAAACGGTCACTCATTCTTTAAATCCACAGAGTCCTGTTTCTGAATATTTAGCCTAATGTACTGTGCTACAGGGGATTTGGAATGCTGTGTACTGTTATTTGCAAATTCAGGTTCCAAATGAGAAAAGAATTCTGGGAGGAAGAGTAAGCTGTCATATAAGTTTTGAATAAAGATGCAAACTCTCAAATACATACTGAGATGAAATTTCTGAAAAAAGAAGCCATTTGGTGTCTCTGCTTAATTAGGAAGTCATCAAGAAGGATGAGCCATTAAATAGTAAGCCAGACTTTCAATTGAATAATTGATTTTGGCCTTTCTAAGTTAGTATTCTCTTGTTTACACATATAATAGTCATTTAAAAATGTTTAAATTTGTACTTTAGTTGGTGACATTAATATTGAAACTCTATGATCACATGTAAATTACTATTGTAATAAATCTAGAGGTCAGAGTAATCACCCAAATTTTCACTCTGGGGACCATCCACATTTACCAAAGTCTTAGCCTTTTTTCTTTCTCTCTTTGAGTATTTTAGTAATGATGGGGTATTGGAAATGTTCCTTTCCAATTTAGTATTATTGGGATTCCTTATTTGTCTCATAGCCTATCCACTCACCTTACAGCATAGCGGCCATCAATTAAAAAAAAAAACCTCAAATCCTTTTAACTTTGGATTATAATTAGGGGGTATAGGAAATTAAAAAGGATATTTTCACTTTAGACCACCTGTGTACAGGATGTTGTAATCATGGATTGAAATGATGGAGCACATGAGCCTCAGCATTGTGGCATAATGGCCTTTGAATTGATTGATTTTACTATGTAAGGAAAGTATGTGTTCCAAAGTGGTCTGGGAGGTGGGAGGGGTAATTGTGTACTCATCTGGGCCCATCCTCAGTTAATTTGTATTGTTCATACATACATGTGGTATATTTTCCCAGATTTCACAAAACTCTTGTAATGAACTTGTGTAACTTATAAATCCTTATACTCTTACTCTGTTTAAATGTGTGTCTGTATGGTCATTATACTAAGTTTTATGCTTCAACTTTTAGTACCTTATTTAGTTCGAGGTGTTTTGCATGCATTATATTATTTATTCCTCAAAATGATAAAAGAGCTACTGTTACTGTTCCATTTGATTAGAATCCACAGAGTCCTCTAATTTCATATTTTATTCTTGTAGGAACTGAAAGATGTGGGCCATCGTGACCAGATGGCTGCAGCTAGAGGAATCCTGCAGAAAAATGTTCCAATCCTCTATACTGCATCTCAGGCATGCCTACAGCACCCTGATGTTGCAGCCTATAAGGCCAACCGGGACTTGATATACAAACAGCTGCAGCAGGCTGTCACAGGCATTTCCAATGCTGCCCAGGCTACTGCATCAGACGATACCTCTCAGCACCAGGGCACTGGAGGAGGAGAACTGGCATACGCACTCAACAACTTTGATGTAAGTTATACTTGAGAAGAAACTTCAGGCTCTTTCTTCATCAACCCTCAAAAAATAGCAGGTTTCTGGGGAAATGGGATCAAGGCTTCTGATGAAAGTTCAGTTTCCACTTAGATTACAAATCTAAGTTGAAAGAAATTGTTTTGAATTATCAGTTCACTTGATTGTAGTTTGACTTAAAGCATTTGCCTTTTTTTATTTTCCCCTCAAGCTTGGGTTAAACTTCCTCTCTTCTCTTTCTCTTTCTCTCTCTCTCTCCTCTCTCTCTCTCTCCTCTCTCCTCTCCTCTCTCTCCTCTCCTCTCCTCTCCTCTCCTTCTCCTCTCCTCTCCTCTTCTCCTTCTCTCCTCTCCTCTCCTCTCCTCTCCTCTCCTCTCCTCTCCTTCCTTCCTCTCCTCTCTCTCTCTCTCCTCTTCTCTTCTCTTCCTCTCCTCTCCTCTCCTCTCCTCTCCTTCCTCTCTCTCCTCTCCTCTTTTCTTTTCTTTTCTTTTTTCTTTCTTGTGACACTGGGGCTTGAACTTAAGCCCTATACCTCGAGTCACTCCACCAGCCCTTTTTTGTGAAGGGTTTGGGGGTCTCACCAACTATTTGCCTGCTGGCTTTGAACTGCAATCCTCCTGATCTCTGCTTCCTGAGCAGCCAGGAATACAGGTGTGAGCCACTGACACCCAGCTACTTCCAGGTTCTTTTATGCAACTTCTATATCAAATGAGGCCATTCTTTATTGAGAATATGAGTCTGGTTAATTTCAACCAAGATTTTGGTTGGGAGATGTGAAGGTATGGGAGATGCAGAAGCAAATATTCATAAGCTTCTCCGGCCCCCCCCCTCCACCCCCCGCCCCCCAAGCTCATGGTCTAGTCAGAGATACAGACAAATCATACTGACCTTACTTATATGCATAAATATGCTTCTCTTCTTGGTGACTAACTTTGAATCATTAACACAATTAATTAAAGTGGTAGCAGATTTGAAATTAAAATATTTTATTAGCATAATGCCATGAAAATACCTCTTATAGCTGATGCTTGAGAGCTCTTCTGTGTATGTATTGTGTGTGCACAACTGTATTGTTAATTTTTTGGTGGGTTTTGTTTATTTCCTATCCACAGTGTCTCCTGGCTTCCAGTAGATGGGAGCAGCTTAAGATTCCACCCCCCCCTCCCCCCTTTAGAGTCAGGATCTGTCTTCATAACCCAGGTTGGCCTAGAACTCATGATCCTCCTGCCTCAGTCTCCCAGTGCTAAGATTACAGGCACATACTGCTACACCCAACTTTTTGTTTGTTTTAAAGCAAATGTTGGACTAGGGATATAGCTCATTCGTATATTGCTTGCCTAGGATATGCAAGGCCCTGGGTTCAACCCCCAGCACTGCAAAAACAACCAACCTTGCTTCCCCCATCCCTGAAACAAAAAGCAGAAAAAAAAAAAAAAAAACTATTGAGCAAACCTTTTTTTCTCTTTTACATTAAAGTAAGGAACACTTGTGTTCTAGGTGGCCAGCATCCTTTCATAATAGGAATGCTTTTGGAGTATAATGGAGTACAGTTTGTATTTTAACAGTTTTCTTTGCCTTTATGTTTTTTGGGTGAGAGGTATATCACTTCTTTACTTGGGCTTGGAAAACTGATCCTTGCTGATAGGCATGGCTGATTTAGGATTTCTTATAACACATAAAGGCAGCATTAAGTCTAAAGACCATGGCATTAGTGCTGTATTTTTACCTAAACACAAAATGACTTTTATAATAAACTCTTAGTTTACATCTTACAGCTTACTAGGACTGTTGGTCCTCCCGTCCCCTCCCCCCCCAATTTGGCAATGTTAGGTACTTGTCTCTTTTGAGGTAATAAGGATGAGATTTTGCCCTAAGTTGCCTTACTTCTTAGGGGGTCACAGTTTCTTCATTTGTAAAGTAAAAGGGTTGTACTAAATGATACCAACCCCTTTATAGTTCTGTGATTCAATTAAACGTCTATGACCATACATTTCTTCCTTTCTGTTGACTAGAAAAATATTTTGTATTTTAAATTTTGTTTGTTTGTTTATTTATTAATTTATTGTGCTGGGGATTGAACCCAGGGCCTTACACATACTAGGTGAGCACTCTACTATTGAGATACATCCCCAGTCTGTACTCAGTTTTAATCAGAAAAATCTTGTAATAACCTAATCTGGAAAGAAAAATTGTCAGTCAAAATGTACATTAATAATAAATTTAAGGTATTGCATGTTCAGTTTGAAAACTGGAGGTCCCTTAAAAGGAAGGTAAGAAATGCTTAGTCATTGAAAAAAGCCAAGCCTTTAATAGAACAAATTTGGTTGCCATTTATGTTGAGATTAATAAGGAAATAATTCCTATAAAGAAAAATCACAGGCTGGGTGTGGTGGGGCATGCCTGTAATCGAAGCTACTTTGGAGGCAGAGATTGGGAGGATCATGGTTTGAGGCAAGACACCCATCTCAGCAAATAAGTTGGGCAGTGGTAGTGCACCCTTGTGTGCTCCAGATACATGGGCGACATAGGAGTATTATAGTCTAAGGTCTGCCTCAGTCAAAAACTTGAGACCCTATCTGAAAAATAACTAAAGGAAAAAAGGGTTTGTGGTGTGGCTCAGCTAGTAGAGCATCTGTCTAGCAAGTACTTGTTCCTGAGTTCAAATCCGTGTTACCAAAATCAAACAAACCTCAGATACTTTAAAGCAAACCTCAGATACTTTCACAGACATTTATCACTATGAGGGGAAATTGTAATCAATGGGAGTTTTTCAGTGGTTGACCTTGAACCTTTAGCTTACTTTTGGTCATACTTCACTCATCAATGGCAAAGCTGGCTTTAAGTGTAGTCAGGGTATAGAAGAATAGACAGAGGAAGGATTTATTCATATTGAGGCAGCAATAACTCACAAAGCAACTTTTTAGGGAAGAGTTGTTATTTTACAGAATACTAGTGGTCTTCCAGGAAAGAAAGTTTCTGATTTAGACATAACAGAATAAGTTTGAGTCTGAATTGTTTATAAATCTCTATTAGATAATATAAAATGAGGAAAATAGATGGAAATTCATTATAAATGTATTTCTTTATGAAACTTTGGAAACAGAGGTCAATATTTTTATATATTTAAGATTTTTTTGTGTGCTTAAAATTCTGTTACATACCAGTTCTATACTCTGCATATAAGAAAGGGGTAACTTTATTTTTCTTAGAAGTCTCATTTGATAATTTGAATTATTATTACTGTACAGGCTAACCCTTAAATGTTAGAATAAATAGTACGAACATGATACATTTGTGTTTGCATTTGTGGTATACCTTACCCAGACGCTGTTTGAGTAGTGCCTTCTTTGAGCAGTCATCTGCAATAGGCAGATGAGATGGCCCTTTATCTGCCAAGAAGAATAGCTTTCTTTTAGCTGTTGTAATTAAGTCTTTTTTTTTTTTTTTTTTTTTTTTTTGCAGACTGGGGTTTGAACTCAGGGCCAACACCTTGAACCACTCAAGGTGTGATGGAGTTTTTTGAAATAGAGTCTCACAAACTAGTTGCCTGGGCTGAACTTTAACCTTGATCTTCTTGATTTCTGCCTCCTTTACAGGTGTGAGCCACCAGCACTCAGCTAATTAAATCTTGATATTTCAAATCGACACTTTCCTTACCTTCTTGAAAGGAGCATTAACATCAATAACATTTTCTCTGCAGAAACAAATCATTGTGGACCCCTTGAGCTTCAGTGAGGAGCGCTTTAGGCCTTCGCTAGAGGAACGCCTGGAAAGCATCATTAGTGGGGCTGCCCTGATGGCTGATTCATCCTGCACGCGCGATGACCGGCGTGAGCGAATTGTGGCTGAGTGCAATGCTGTCCGCCAGGCCCTGCAGGACCTACTCTCAGAGTACATGGGCAACGTGAGTGTCAGAAATTTTCTTTGTTCTGAGATATTTATGTCTGATGAGTTTTCTGTATTGGATCTGAGATGTTTTAACTGTTAATATCAAGTGTCCTTGACCCTTGGCTTTCTTAGGTGGGTCAGATTTTTTAAGGAATGGGTAAGTTTTTTAAGTGGCCATTTTCTTCCTTACTTTTTCATTTGGAAAAATTTCATACTTATAAAAGTCATGCAATGAGTCTAGATTGACATTTAACACATAGAAGATGCATGTGTTTGCATAAATATATATACATGTGCACATACATAAACATGTATACATACATGCGTATATGTGTGTACACACATATAATACCTTTTTTTCCTCCGAAACATTTGGAAGTAAGTTGCAGACATTGTGATGCTTTTCACTTGTACATATTTCAGTATGTATCTCCTAAAGATAATTGTCTTTTACACTAATATTGCATTGTCATAACTAGGTAGCCATCTAAATTTGAACAAAAGGGAATGCTGAAAATCTATCTCTTTGATATTCATAGTTTATGAAGTTTTTTTTCTGAACCATACAGAATGTTGTAAAAGTGATACAACATTGCCAGGTAGAACTGTATGACACAAACTCAGTAATGTTTTTGACTTTTTAAGGTTTGTGTTTAAAAACCAGGGTTTATGAAATTTGAAATGTCTTTTCTTTTTATTTATTTATTTTTAATTTTTATTTTATTCATATGTGCATAAAATGTTTGGGTCATTTCTCCCCACTTCCCCTCCCCCTTCCCTTACCCCCCCACCCCCTCCCTCTCTTTTCTTTTTTTTCCCGTAGAAAATACTGTAATTGATTTTCCTCTATTGGCATATGCATTTCTTTTCCTTTCTTTTACATATCTTCCATTCCAGTTATTTAATGTTAACTTAGGGTCACTCCAGACTGTATACGCATTATTTTGCTGTTATAAGGAAAAACAAAATAAATAAAAATTAAAAGTTTAAAGGAAGCCTGGTGCCTGTGGCTCACGCCTATAATCCTAGCTGTCTAGGAGGCAGAGATCAGGAATATTGTGGTTTGAAGCCAGCCCAGGCAAATAGTTCCATGAGATCCTGTCTTGAAAAACCCTTCACAAAAATAGGGCTGGTGGAGTGGCTCAAGGTGAAGGCCCTGAGTTCAAGCCCCAGTAAAGTTTAAAAGAGAAAAGGACAATGAGAATTAGTTGTCATCTCTAGTAGTTTTGTTTTGTATAACATTTTTCAGGAAAAGATCATGGTTCTTATTTGTACATTTGTTAGTGTCTTGTTTGTTCACTTATATGCTGGCATAAGCGAAAGGGTACTGGTGAGTCATAATGGAATTCCTAGGTGAAGATAAATGCCTTCTGTGTTTATCTTGTTTCTACCATATTGTGAAATTAGTGATGTACATTGAATTGTTTTAAGTTACTACCATGTTTCAACTGTAGGCACTCTACCTAAGAAAAATGAGATTAGAGATTTAGTTAAATGGAAGGTAGTTGATAAGTCACAGTGGGAATGTGGTACACATTAAGAAAATCCATATCTATAATTATAAATTAGAAAATGTGGAAAAATGGATAGGTTGAAGAATGGTTTACAATGTTGGAGTCTAAATGGGAACAAAGACTCATGATACATATGTGGATCAGTCATTTGCAGGAAGTGTCAAATGTGGTTGTAATTATGAAACCACTTTGAAAACAGCCTTTGGTGGGAGAGAGGGTGTGGTAAATCTTTCTAACCAATCTGCAAGATATCCATTGAGTCCTGGGTTGTTCAGATTCTCTGGCCATTCACCCCTGGTAGCCTTCTGTTTTCTCCTTTGACTGTCATACAAATAGTAGTACTTTCTATTCATGGTTTTGGTATAGGAAAATGTGTGGAAATACTCATTTATTCTGAGACAGGGAGACCATAATACAGCATTTATAAGTGGAAACTAGAACAATGCTTGATGTTAGGCTTAAATTTAAGTATTGTGGCAGGGGTCTTAAAGGAAATTTCTTGCTTCAGAAATTTCTCCTAAAGGTAAAAGTCTTCTCCCTTCTCCCCCCGCCCCCCTTTTTTTTGCTTGCCCTCAAAAGTCATTGGTTTCCTTTTATTGACTCTTTTAAAGCGAACAGGCTCAGTCTTGTCAAGTGGCAATGAAGGGTGGATAAAGGGGAAAGGCAGTGGAGCATATTTGAAGGAAGCTCAGAATGGTAAAAGGGCTGAAGAATCAGAAGCAACAGGAGATAGATTTTTGCTATTTATGAAAAGTTTAGAAATACTTTAGAATTTCTAGTGACAGTCACAACTGGCCATCTTTGCCTGTCACTGAGTTTTTTTTTTTTTTTTTTTTTGTGGTACTGGGGATTGAACTCAGGGCCTCATGCATGCAAGGCAAACACTAAACCACTAAGCTATATCCCCAGCCCTGTCGCTGAGTTTTTACTGAGTGTGTGTAACATGAAAAACAGTGTTCTGGGTGCATTGTAAGAAGAAGAGTGAGGCTCTGATCATTTCTGGAACAGAGTCTCTACAAGGAGTTGAATGGCAGTGGCATGATAGGTACAATTAAAATTGCATGGTAATTATAAGGAGAATGAGATTAGGCTGGGAAATCCTGGAAGATTTGTTTTATATTCTTTTGGTTAAAATCTACCTTGGTTAAAAAAAAAAAAAGTTCACTTTAACTTTTGATTATTTCTGTTGAAAAATCCTAGTGCAGGTTGTTCTCATTCTTACTCTAGAGATGATGTACTTTCAGTCTATTAAAAGTGTGTACCTTTCCTAACAAACTTTACTATCACTTTTGCTATTTAAAAAACCAAAGAAAAATAGTAGCCAAGTAATCATAGTAATAGAAACAACCTACATTATTTAAAACGTGTTCCTTACACATAACTGTGTAGACCAAGTGGTAAAGTCTAGAAAGGCTTACTTGTTTTTACCTTTTTAATTCGCTAGATTCTCTAGATTCTCTCATTAATTTAATCTTTTTGCTTGTTTTTTGGCAGTACTGGAGTTTGAACTTATGGCCCCCAGCTTGCTAGGCAGACACTGTCCCACTTGAACCGCAGCCCAGCCCTTTTTGCTTTGGTTATTTTTCAGGTAGGGTCTTGAGTTTTTGCCCAGACTGGCCTCAACACGATCCTTCTATCTGTAGCTTCTGAGATACAGACATGTACCACCACACCCAGCTTTTTAGTTGAGATAGGGTCTTGCTAACATTTTGCCCTTGCTGGGCCAGCTTTGAATAGTGGTCTTCCTCATTGCTGCCTCCTGAGTAGCTGGGGTTACAGGCTTGAGCCACCACACCCAGATAATGCAATCGGTTTTGTAGATACACATATTGTCATACTGTCTTGAGACTTCCTTCTTCCTCCTTATGTTGTCAGTTACTGAGTTCCACTGGTTTTTCCTTTAAGGCAGTAATTCGTAACTTTGAATTCCCATTAGAGCCCTGGAGTACTTTAAAAATAATCTGTTGTATCCAGGTTGTAATTTCCTTCCCATCTTTTATGTCTAAATTGTTCTTTCTTCAAGGGCCCTTCTCCCATCCCTTTGCTGAAGGCAGTTTCAAACTGTGTCACCCAACATTATTTCTTTGGTATTTGAAGTTTTGCACCTAATTGAATATTTCCTTGAATTGTTGCTTAATTGTGTTTCTTTTATCCATGTAATTTCTGGAAGTAGGTTTTAAGCTTTTGGAAGACTGAATTATTTAAAAACATTCTGTTATTGTCTATTATAATGCTAGAAGAAGTACTTAGTAAAAGCTTGCTTAATGAACTCATGATGACTTGGGAGAATGAATAAAATGAACAATTTTAGATATTCATGGTGCTAGGGATACATTAGTCTGAAAAAAAAAAGCCCCAAAGATCTTGCCCTTTTGGCAGTACTGGGGTTTGAACTCAGGGCCTCACACTTGCTAGGCAGGTGTTCTTCCATCTGAGCCACTCCACTAGCTCTAGATCTTGCCCTTTTGGGCCTTTTCATTTTCAGGGGGTGTATACCTATACTTCCTGAAGATCTTTCGGTGTGCATATGACATTTTTAGAAAAAAATTAAACCAAATACTATGAAATAAACAATTAGATCAGAGTAGAGTCAAATTTAATTCATCAGATGAATGCCATATTCCCTCTTAAGGGTCCAAGGATCAGGATGCCTCAGCCTTAATGTTCCTGTTTATATTTTGCTTTGCAAAGTTGGAGGGTAGACAGGTAGTCTTGGCTATAAGAGACAGATATTGATGTAAAAGTACTGCATTTGACCCCAACTTAACATTATAGAGGTATTGTGACCTTTTAGTGGATTCTTGTTCTACAAATGCTCGGTTTCCTTGAAACAAAATGTGTTTATTGTGGTTATGTTTAATTTGCTTCCGATCTGTCAGCCTAAAGTTACTGAAGGTTCTAGGGCAAGAAAAACAGCTTTCTTTTTTTGGTGGGGGGGCGTAGTGGGAGGGGGTCAGTACTAGGTATTGGATTCAGGGCCTCATGCTTGTTTGCATGCAGGTGCTCTGTCACTTGAGCCACTTCGCCAGCCCTTTTATTTGTGTTGAGTATTTTTGAGACAGGGTCTTGTGAACTATTTCCCTGGGCTGGTTTGAATCATGATCCTCCTGATTCTGCCTGAGCAGCTAGGATTACAGATGTGAGCCACTGGCCCAGACTATCTCATTTAATTTTGAAAACAGCCCAGTGAAGTAGGAGATGGTGTTCTCATTTTAAAAAAGAGAAAGCAGAGGTAGAGATGAAGCTATCTAAAGTCACACAACCACCAAATAGTGAATTTGCGATTTAGACCCAGTTCCAAAACCTTGTTTTCGCCAAACCAGCTAATGTTCTTGGAGAATAGTAGTATATATTCATTACCTTTCCTTTGTAACATTTTTTGCTTCAAAGGAACAACTTAATAGAATGTGTCATGTGTCTTAGGTTCAGGTTAAAAAAGAAGAAGCAAGCCTTCTCTTGTCAACGGAGGATGGATGCGGGGGCTTCCACAGGTTCCCAGTTT